AGCTCCTTCCTTGTCTTTTGGGGAATCTGAGTGATTTTAGGATGTTTTAGTGCCTCGCATGCCCTCCAGTGGCAGGGAGCAGACAGTACTTTTTGTACCTTCTGCTTATGGTGTTTTGATTTAAACGAGAACATCCTCTGCTTTTGGTGTCCAACTTTAAGTGATTAGGGTTTAGCTCTCATTTGAGAATCTTTGAAATTAAGCACTTTCTCCTCAGGAGAACAAAAGAATGGCATGGCAGGCCTTCTACACATGGCAGGGCTCTGCTGCTTTTTTCTGAGAGGGCAGATACTCTTTCTTTTCCTGTTGGCCTCTTGCTCCAGATTTGCTGCTGATGTTGCATGCTGCATATTCCTTCATTGGTTACTCCTTGTCCAGTATCTTGCCACAGTGGAGCAAAACAGATGTGGGAAAGCAGGGCTGCAGCTGCAGGCAGAGGAGACACAGTGCAAGGCATTATGATACTGTGTTTCTTGGGCCCTGCAAAATGCAGTGCTCTGAGTTAAGGCCTACTGTGCCTCATGTTTGTTTTGGTGTATTTGGTTTCCCTGTTTTGTCTGAATACATGATGCATTGAGCTTTGGGATTTAAATGTTATTTTAAAACCTTGCAGCTCCAAAGATTAGGCAATTCTGCTGTGGTCTTTCAAAAGCATAATGCTTTTGCTCTATTGCAGAGCTCTAAAGTAACCTCCTGAAAGAGTGAGGAGGGATGTGCTGAGGGACTGACTTGCTCTAGTGCCTCAGGCCTGTGGCTACCGCCAGACAGGCTTGTTTGAACAAGGTTGGAATGGGTAGGAGCTGTGTTCACATTTTCTGTCTTCCTGCAGCACCTTCTCTTTTTCACTCTGCCAAGAGTGGGCTCTTGGGAGTGCTGTTCTGAGCAGTGATTTTTACAAAAGGCATTGAAATTTAAAAGCTGAAAGGCCTTGCAGAAACACAAGGGTTTAGTTCTTTTTAATTGCTGAATATGCTATGAATGTAACTTCTATGTTGTGAGCACTTATGTTTGTGGAAAACATTCTTCTGTATAAATATGTGGATATTTAATTGGTATGTGCATTGTGTGAAAGTGGGTACTAACACCATCTATTTTTCTATGCATACATCTATTCTGGATCTTACCTTGTCTAGGAGGAATTCCAATTGGTGGTGTTGATGGTGCTATTAATAAAAATAGTGTCCCATTCACATTCATCTATTCAAATGTTCACATTTTCTCCTCCTGCAGATAGATACATGACTGTATTAATTAAGAAAGCATGTCTGATAGTGTTATTTCTGGATATAGTGTTTAATTAAAAAAAAAAAGCTCTGTTTAAAGATCTGTAATTACACAGCTTAACATATGTTATGTCACATCAAAACCATTGTCTGAATTATGAGCGATTCAGAACGAGCGTAAAAGGAGCATGTTATTGGCTTGATTTATGTGATTGCTTTGCCTTTCCTGAGTCCTGCAGCGAGGGATCTAGATATGCTCCTCCACGCTTTTGTGATACGAAAACTTAGTATATTTAAGATTTGAGTAGTACCCGAGAGTAAATAGCGTCTATCTAAACCCAGACTAACCCGGGTGCAAGCGAGGCGTGGTCTGGGAGCACAGCATTGGAAGTTTCAACTGGCGGTTGCTTTATTTTGCTCTGCTCAAGGATTAATGTCAGGGACCTGACTTAATGCATTTATCTGTGGGTGTCGTGGTTTAAGCCCAGCCGGCAACTTGGAACCACGCAGCCGCTCGCTCACGCCCCGCCCTTTTTCTTCCTCCCCCCGCTCCCGGAGGGATGGGGAGGAGAATTGGAGGAATGTAACTCCCACGAGTTGAGATAACAGCTCTCCAGTAACTAAGGTATAATACAAACCACTACTGCTACCAATAATAATGATAAGAGGAATAACAAGGGAAAAGGACACAACCGCTCACCACCCGCCGACCGATACCCAGCCCGACCCGAGCAGCGATCTGGGCCTTCCAGGTAACTCCCCCCAGTTTATATACTGGGCATGATGTGCTGTGGTATGGAATAGCCCTTTGGCCAGTTTGGGTCAGGTGTCCTGTCTCTGCGTCCTCCTGGCTTCCCCTCCTCTCTGGCAAAGCATGAGACTGAGAAAGTCCTTGGTCAGAGTAAACATTACTTAGCAACAACTAAAAACATTGGTGTTATCAGCGTTGTTCCCAGACTGAAAGTCAAAAACACAGCACGGCACCAGCTACTAAGAAGGCGAACAAATGACTGCTGTAGCTGAACCCAGGACAGTGGGTTAAACGTGATGTTCCTGTTCCAGTAGGGCTGCTTCTCTGTGGGAAAAGCAACAAGCTGTTTGCTCGCTGTCCAAATTTGGAAGCAGAGAGCTGATCCTTGGAGGGATTTGGAAGATGTCCGGGAAAGTTATGGCTCGCCGGGATGAGCCGAGATCTGTCCTTTACCGACAGGTGGCAGCTCGTAGTCGGGGAAGAGCATCTCTTGGGGACCCAGCCCTACCATTGCCTTGATTTAACAACAACGCAGTCAGCGTAGGCCTTTCCACTGCCATTATGTGCACAGGGCATAGTAACTGTATTAGGGTAAGAATTTATAAGCATCGATACCTGTATAAATTGGAAAAGATCAGAAAGTGTATACGTGTGATAAAGTTGCATAACAGAGGGTTTTCTTTGCAGTACTGCTTATGACATATTGTAAGATCTCCACTGAATATGCAAGGAACTTTGCTTTAAAGCAATTTTTGGAGTTAATTCAAAGTATATGAACAGAGCGAAGTTAACCACATGCCAGGTCACTGAAATTCTCAAATGGAGCAAGTAGTGCAAAAAATGTTTCCTTCTCGCATGCCTGCAAACACATTGATGTTTATGTTGTTCTTTGATAAACTATTTATATGATGAAGTACTTGTTTATCTCCATCCCCTGTTAGACCTTCTCTCCGATTTCCAATAATATGTGATTGCTTTGTATTTCAAAACAAAAAGAAGAGCTTTTTTTCTGCTATGAAAGTTGAAAGGTCTTAATCTTTAATTTCTCTCTAATCACGTTGCATGCAAGTTGTTTGCTCAGATGTGTGGAATGTGAATGAAAATTGATGTATCACCATGTCTTTTTTTTTTTTTCTTCTTCACACCTTCTTTTCTCTCACGCCTTTATTCTTTTCCTCTAAGCACTTTTATATCTGATGGCTTTTTTCAGTTTAATGTGTTTCGTGACTCTGACTTGCCAGCTCAGAACACTTCTGCCATGAGGACTGTGTTGGTTTTTTTTGCACTTGCTGCATTGTCTAACCACAAGTCCATTCACACGTTTTAAGAATGATCTATCATCTTTTTTCATAAAAATTGGACTTGAAATAGCCTGGGGAGGAATGTTTAGAGCAAAAGTGATGTGCTGTTGGAGATAGAGTTCTAGGCTGCATTGCAAAAGTTATAAATATATCCTTTTAGGGTATAAACTGTGTTTACCTCTGAATAAGCCAGCAATGTATTTAGGAGTTTGGGGTAGGTTTTGGGCTACCTTAGTTGGGATGGTGATGTGTGATGTCCTGGAACATGTATTTGTTTTAGTCTTTAGCAGGGTATTTGCCTAGATCTTTTGCCACAGGAGAGTTGGGTTTAAGGTCCACCTAAGTGCAGGCAGGGTGATAGTTCAGGAATCGGCTTGAAGAGAGTTCATGAAAATATATGCCTGTCACCTTCATCAGGCTTGTGCTTGCTTTTCTGAGTCTTGCCAATAAATGGGTATTAAGATCTTCTAACAGCAGTACTTTGAGCTTTTAGGACAGAAAAGCTGATCTGGGGTGAGTTACAGTGGGAGTGGAATTGAGGTGCTTCATTCTAGGTTCTGTTTAAGTTGCACTAATCACAGGTGCTCTGGCAAGTCCACATCATCCAGTTGGACAAAACCAGCTCTGATATCACCAGCATAATGGGAAAAGGCTCCGACACAGCAATGTGGGTATTGATACTCATACTGGTCATCGATGTTCACATGGCTTTTGTTCTGCAAGCCTGTAGCACCATTCTGTAATTCAAGTCCATACGCCTTCCTTCTCTGAAATGCAATCAAAGAGAAACATTAATTGCAACAAACAGCTTATAGGCAAAAAGCTTTTCTGGTAAGTGGTTATGAAATGATCTCTTCAGAGCTGGTGTGGAGCGTTCCAAGTGCAGGGAGGCTGTTGAGAGCCCTGGGTAGTTGCCTTGGCTGCTCTTTTTATGAATTTGACTAAAAAATATGCAGTTCTGTACCTCAGAAGTGAATATAGGTGTGTACCCATATTGCTGCATAGATTAGATAAATTCAGTCATATTTGAAGCAAAGGCTCTATCTTGGATTGGTATTTTAGTGATATTTTTTTTGCTCTGGGAGAACAGGAAATAGTCTTAGATTGTAAAGATGGAGCTAGAAATTGAGGTTACAGTATAATATGCAAGACTTTTTTTTTATTTTTATTTTTTTTTTCTTCCCTGTTACATTGTTTACTTTAGACCAGGCTAAGTATTTCATAGAAAAAGTAATTTTTTGGTGCAGTTTGTGAAATAAATAATAGAAAGATCCTGTTAAAAATGCATTGGCTGGCTTCCTTATTTTAATATTAATAAAGCAGGTTGCTACAATAAAATTAGCTCTGCATGGTGTTTGTCACTTACTGCCAAGGCAATCGAGTCTAATGCCATTCCTTCCTGAAATGAATTCCCAGGAGAGGAGTATTTGTGCCATTCTTAAACGTCTAACCAGGAAACTCGGGAGTTGAACTGTAAATTATGGAAAATACAGATTTTAGTCTGGAAATTCCAAGTCTGTCTTTGGCCTTGTGGCTTTCTGGCTGCTTACGATGAAGTGTTTTAATGTTGTTTATGCATGAGTTTTCTCTGCAATAGTGACTAATACCCAGTTCTTGACTCATCATGTTAATGGACAACTTGGTAATCATATCTGTATGGTTTCATAGTCCCTAAACCACGGTTTATGGTTGATGCCCCCTAGTGGGGGCAAGACCATCTGAACCATGAAGGTACTTAGGTGGGACTGCAGCACCCTAGGACACAGTGCCTTTTGATTTAGGGGCACAGGGCTGAAGGCATCTGAGGAAAAAGAGTGGTATTGCAGTTGGCACAAAGGAGATACTGTCTTTTTTTTAAAAAACAAGATGAATGTGTGCCTTTAAAAGGAAAATCCCTTTACCAACCCCCTGCCCCTGTGATTTATAGTGTACATTTATCTGAGCAAAGGGAAAAAACCTGTAATCTTGGTACATTTTGTTTTGTGACCAGAACAGCACTTCTGTACTTATAAATAATATGAACACTCATTGTATTAGAGGCTCTGTCAGCTGAGGTGGTATTTTGGTTAAAACAAGCATTAGGGGTTATTTGATCATGATTATAGATGTACTTCTGCTGAAATCTTCATTTAAGACAAGATTTAAATTATCTTCATTTTACAGTTTGCATTTTTATTTTAAGGATCTAAATTGGAATTATATTCAAGCTTTGCCTGCCAACTGAATCTTCCTAAGATTTTATTGAACACAAGTGTGTGAAGCAGGGGAGCACATACATTTAAATACCATCAAGGTCTATGGATCCAAATATCTGCTTAGGTGTTTTCTTGAAAACAGTGATGTTTCACGTAAGCTTTTTAAATTTCTGCTTTAAAGAAATGTCTTGAGAGTCCAACAACTGAGAGACACTTTCTTAGCTGGTGAACACCCATCCTGAATAACCAGGTCTCTGCAGTTATGTGTTTATTTCTTATGATATATTGTAGTAAAAAAATTGGAATTATGGAGTGTGTTTATTGTATGTACTTCCTATAGATTGGATGAAGTTGTGACCTCAGCCTTGCTTTAAGTGCTGTTACTGGCATCAGAAGTAAAATAACCCATGTCTTCCCTTCTAATTTGCAATCAGCAGGAGTCTTAGCTGAAAATGGAGAGAGAGAGATCTGTTTGTAAATGTGAATGGTCTCTTTGTGCAAGAGGCTGGAGGAGATTCAATTCCCCCCATGTTCCTTGGAAAAGGGATACAACAGAAATGTCTTGCTTGCTTTACGCCATTGGCCAAGCAGAAATCTTATCTGGAAGATGAAGGGGTTGTGGGTTTTTTTTTTTTTCCCTGTAGCAGAAGGAAGGTGGGATAAGATGTAGAAAAGGAAACTCTTGGCTTGTCCCTCCTTCCTTCCAAAGTACTCTAGGGAAAAGCAAAACAAAGCAAGATAGATGTTGGAACTGTAGCTGGGAGTGCCTCTGTGGACTTGTGGCCAATGTCAGCTGGATGATTGTTTCTTTTCCTCTATCCTGCAAGAGGGGAAACTCTGGATGGAGAAAAGAAAATAGCTCGGTAACCACAAGCCCACAGTTTTGTTCCTGTATGAGTCATTGATATACAAAATAGGGTCTTGGAAAGACACTGAAAGAACAAGATCTGGTTTTTATGTTTTTTGACTTATTAGAATCTAGTAAAAGTGTGATTATTTTTTATTTTTTTTTTTCCTCTCCCCCCATCTGGGTAAAGAACATGCTTGCTGTCTCAGGAGCACTGTGTCTTGCTGGGTATGGAAAGTGAAAGATGGAAGATGACACAGCTCACCATGTCATAGCTGAGCAGCTGATACTTATTCTAGACTTCAGTACTTGTTTAGGCTATTCCCAGTCCTGTATTCTAAATGATTACAATTTCTCTTTACTGCTGGAAATTACTTCCTTTTTGGGGAATTTTCTTCCTCTTTGGCCTATTTGCCTTGTATGTTCTTCACTACTGAATAATTCGAAAGTGTTTAAGCCAACTTTGGTATTCTCTTCTGCTTTTAGTGTGAAGATGATCTGCCTAACAGCCTGAAAGGTATAACTGAAAAAGCACCTGAATATGGGCTAGAAGGTGGAGTCGATGTTCGATACCTTCAGTGGTTAAATGGGAGGTTGAGGTTCCAGTGGCGGAGTTTGCATGCTCAGCACCAAGAGCAATGCAAACTTTTGTACAAGGTAAATAATTCTTCTAACTCACTGTGGCATTGTTTATTATAACTTCATCAGAAATGTAGGTTCAAAATACTGAGCACGGATGTTGAAAGTAATAACAGCAAGATAAAATGCAGTTTCCCTTTCTGAAGTACTAGGCAACATCTGAGCAGAATCCAAAATCTTACCTGCTTTTAAATCAAGAATCAATAGCGCTCCCTACATCTAAGACTCCAGTTCTGTTCGTGTTTGTGAACTATGTTTATATGCCTGTCTGAAAATCATAGACATCTATGAGCATTATGTCTGCTTAGGATGGAAACAGCTTGCAGTCCCAAAGTTGACAGTAATGGTGACTGTAGAGACAAACTTAAAAAAAAAAAGGTTCTAAAGATAATACTAAAAGTTTTTCATTAATGTTTTCCCAAAGCCCCCTTTCTCCATTCGTATCTCTTCAGGTAACTTATATGAAACCATTATTGTATCCAGAACCTTCACAGAAAACCCTTCTGAGACAAAGAATAGTTTTGAGAAATTTCTTTTCAAAGAAAAACATTTATCAGAAAGTTGTCAGGATTGAAAAAAGATGGGTTTGAATGAAGATGCCTTCTTGGTTTTAATCCTGTGTCTGACAGAGTAATGCTGAAAACTATAAGAGGTTACATTTTGTTCTTTACCATGAACTGATTGCTAGGGAAGATGTCTGATTGACAGCCTCTGTGTGTGCAGCATCTAAAATAACCTTTTGCTTCTCATTGCCCACTGCAAATGTGCTTTCCTGATCTGGGAATGAAGATAGCAATTCACCTTAAGTGCAGCTGCAGTCCTTGGCTTTGGCACTAAGATATAGACAGTGATGCTATTGGAAGAGGTGACTCAGTGCTATAAAACTCAAATGAAATGATTGGCATCTTCTCCCCTCGATAACTACCTTTATTTAAGGTATGCTGATTTTTATAGTAAGTGAGGCAAATAGCTCTATAACTCATAATAAGTGCTCTGATTTATGTAGTACTTGGCAGTATCAAATCATTAGGCAGCTTCAATACCTCACCATGCAGTTAATGAGACCAAGGAAGAATTAAGAGCAGATTGAACCTAGGAGCTCGAGTACAAACAGAGATACCCTCAATGGTCCAGATGAGGCACTGGAATGATAAAGAGATGTGCTGATTTGACATCATGCTAAACTTGTTGATAGGGGAGATAATGCCCTCCTATGGGATTTGTACTTTGAAATTAACTTGGACTTTCTTTTCACCTGTGGCTATCCAAGGAAAAGTGTTTGCTCAAGTTAGGACTGTTACAGTCAGACAAAGGTGAGAGATGGGTTAGCTATGCTGCAGTTCCTTGGACCACGATTTCTGGAATCTGGAAGAATAAGTAGGAGGGAGAATGTTTCTTTGTTCATGCAAATTCCCAAAGCTGCCATTACTGTTTTCTCCAAAAGTCATCACTGGACTAAATTGAAAGCAAATAAGCAGTTCTGGTGGTGACGCTTATGATCAGACCATGTTCTGCAGTGTATGTAGAGGGCTGCCATTACAAATCTATACATAGGAGGATAGATTGGAGCCCAGGTCCTCCATATGTGATCACATGCTGATATTATGCGTGCTCAGATACGTATGTGCAACTGTGGGAGTTCTGTTCAGAGCTGTAATAAAGTGTAGTGCTCTGATTTATATTTTAGTCTGAATTAAAAGCAGGAAAATTGAAAGGTAGAAGTGGCTTTAGAAGGGACTTCATTATAGTGCCACATTAATGTTAATGTTTACGGTAACAAAATATAACTTAGACAACTTAACAGCTGCATAAACAATAACTGGTATTTCCTGACTCTTTGTAGAGAAATTGTCTATGCTACTGTATTGATTTTAAAACTTTTAAACTAGTCTATGTGTTAGAAGACTAGCTGACCCAATATGACCTCTATATGAACTGCTGTTTTTCTCATATAAACCACAAACAGTATGCAAAAGGCTAATAAGTGTTATGGTTTTTGATTACACTGGCAGATTTACAGAGGGCTTTCTCTACAAAATGATAATTATGGCTTTTACTCACTCTGTTTAATAACTTAACAGGTTATGTATCTCAGCTGTGGAACAGTCTTATTTATTGCTGATCACGAGCTATAATTTTTGCCAAGTAGTGGCGACACTTCCACAGATTTCATTCTGTGACTCACAGAGGCTCTAAAATACCATATTCTCTATTTAGGGCTTTCTGAGAAAAACACATCACACTTGGAAAATATGTCCTTATTCAGGAGATGACTGGTTTTCCACGCTTACTGGAAGTAAGAATTGTACGTAGGATCCAGCAAGAGGCTACCAAGATAGTCGAGGACTAGCTAAGTTGGGCATGACCTCCCAGGAGAAGTTGGGGAGTTGGGCTTGCTTGCTGTGGTGGAGGGGAAGCTGAGGGAGAGGTCACCTAATAGCTGCCTTCAGCCATTTGATGGGTAGTTATAAGGATGGCAGTTACAACGATGGATCTATGATCTTCTCAGCAATATCAGAAGATGAAGGGGAAGAGGCCACTGATTATAGCTTGGCAGGTTCAGGTGTATTAGAAAAAGCTTCTCTGGGATGATGGGCAGCATTGGGGCAGGTCACCAGAGATGCTGAATAGTCTCAATCCTCAGAGTTTTCCAAGACTTAGATACACAAAGCCACAACTGATGTTGGTGATAATCCCTGTTGGAGCAGGAAGTAGGACTGAAGATCTCAAAAGGTCTTTTCTGTTTCTGTGATTTTGTGAAAAAATTCTGAATTACTTGGGTGATCAAGGACATGTACTTTCAGGTTAGAAGGGATGACTCATGTCTTAATGAAATAGTACTGTGCTGCCTGAAGAAAGGGTAAGGAAGCAGTAGGAGGGAAATATGAGGGGGAAACAGGCAAAACTAAATGGTTGTTCTTTCTCTAAAGTACATGAATGATAATTGAAACTGATTGTTGGGACTTCTATCTACTCTGTCCTGCATGCAGTCACTTAAATTTGATGGCATGAAGTTCTGCAGTAACCAGTGAAGAGGAAAGCTTCCCTGGAGCTACAGCTGGTCATGTGTTGGGAATTGCTTGTTAGGTGGTCTGACTGACTGTTTCTTTTTGCTAGTTCTTCTGATGAGCTTCTTTTCAGTGACTTCAGCTCCCAGAAGGCGTGTTGAAGCTTATATACATGTACACATGTCCTGTGTAGGAGGAAGACTTCCTCAGGGAAATCTTAACCTGAGGAATTTTGCAGCCTGAGGCTATGAGCTGTTGAATGAGATAATGGCTTCTCAACATGGACAGCTTGGGCTGCTTTGAAAATATAGTAGAATAATATCGTTATAATTACCTCAAAATTATCAGTAGTATATATTTACCTGATACACCTTCAAATATATGGAAACATGAAGGATGAATTACCATGTTAAGGCATGCCTCTTGGTTCCTTCTATTCTGTTTCTTCTTTCTGTCAAGTGCCAGAGGAATATCTATCTGCCTGGTTTTTGATCCTTCTTGAATTCATAGGGGAGAGCACCTGTTTTTAGTTATGCTTTGAATTGCCATTTTGCCTTAAAAAAAAGTGAATGAGAAGCCTTGCATAGTTTCATAAAAAGAAGGTAGGAACCTCTATAGTTTAAAATGGGCATTGTTTTGGGGTCTGTTAAATGCACTGTGCCACAATCAGCATGTGGAAAGAAATAGCCCAACAAGTGAGTTTCTGCAAAATGAGTGCATTTCCCGTGGGTATTTTCAGCTATCCTCCATCCACTAAAAGACTAGGACAGAAACTACACCTGAAATAGGGGAGGGTTAGGTTGGGTTCAGAGGTGAATTTTGTTAAGCAGGTGAACATCTGATTGTGGATTATGTATATAAGTTAATAGGAATAAAATGATGTTAAATGGAATTCTTTATGACTGCCCAAGAAAGTTGTGAATGCTTCATCTCTGGCAGTGTTCAAGGCCAGGTTGGATAGCCTTGAGGTTGAGCAATCTGGTCTAGTGGAAGCTGTCCCTGCGTATGGCAGGGGAGTTGGAACTAGATGATCTTAAGGTCCTTTCCAACCCTAATAATTCTATGATTCTATGTTAGAAGGAGAGTTTAGCATATTTGGTGTTACCAGATTGTGGTAAAATGAAAATAATGGTTGTAATACACTTGGAAACTGTAAAAGCAAGAGTTGTATTCTGTCAGTATGCACTGGGAAATACCTCCTATGAATGGTGTGGTTTCTTGTGCCTCCTCTAAGATAAACAATATAAAATAACATGTATTGCAGTGGACTGGATTGTTAGTATCTATATATCTGATGTTGGAGTAAAAGAGTAAAGGGACAAGGACAAAGTCTTGATCTCTGAATAACAGAGGGGGCAGAGACTGGTTACTGGGTGATTACCTCATTGTCAGTAATTTATGAGTGAGCTAAACTGCGATTGTTAAATGTGTAGGTATCTTGGCATGAAGAATCTACCATGTTACTCTAAATTACTACCTTGGTTTATTATATAATTTTTTTCTTGAGATATTTGGTTTGAAAATCTTCATTTTTTTCCTAAGTGAATTTGCCATTAGATCTCAGTAGCACATTCTTTAATGCAGTACAAGTCTTTTGTCTTGTGGAAGTGTGTGTGAACCATGAACAAGCCCCCTTTTCATCTCCTCTTAGGTGAATTAAGCAAGCTGATCTCCCTGTAGGGTGTCTAAGCTCAAGGGCGTTTAGGAATTGATACTGGAAACTCCCTAGAAGTGGTGCTCAGTGGGGGGCTGTGCTTGTACTCTCATGCAGTGGTTTAGTGTAAGGTTAAATCAGGCCTGCATCCACGTCCATTCCAGTGCCATGAAGCAACAGCTCTGTCTTACCCTCTAACCTGCTTCTTGTACCTTGGTACTGTTTTCCTCTTTAAGCCTTGTTTTATCTTCAGTGTGTTGTGATTATCAGCAGCAGATTGTAAAAAAAAAACCCAACAAACTAATACTGGATTATTCCAGTATCCATCTAGTCAGGTCTCAGGAAAACACCTTATTCCTCAGTCATTCTAGCTTCTGAGTATTTGTTCTGGGCTTTAGCCAGTGATGCTGCTGCAACAGACTTTTGAAGAGGGGCAGAAATTCATTCCTGGTGCTGGAGGCCCAAAGGTTTGACAGCCAAGAGTTACGCAAGAATGCAGCAGGGAGAGGAGTGGCAAGTAGAAAGGAAGAACATTGTGTGGGGAGGTACTCTTTTATTTTTAAACTCGCATAGCTCTGCACATGTGACAGATGGTTGTCACCAGAAGTGAGTTTTGGGAAAGGAGCACTAAAATATTCTGAAGTTTCAGGGAAGGGTTGATAATTACCCAGTGCCTGTCAACTTTAAAATAGTTGTCAACACCCAGGTGTATGATAAAGTTCGTATTAGAATAAAGGAAGAAAAGCAGGAAACCTTCTCTGTCTTCTGGCAGAAATATTAATGAAATATGAGTGATTGTCTGACAAATGTGCGCTGCTATCTTGTTTGGCAGGTGCACTTATTACAGTAACAAAGGGATCAGCTCTGAATAGGAGGAATTGCTTTTTATTGTTCCCTTGACTAACTTGGGAAGCTTCTTCACCAAATAATTGATGATACTGTCACCAGCCACCTGAGACAAGGTCCCAGTAAGCAACATCCTACAATATATAGCAGCAAGAGAAACTTAATGTAACTTGGTAGCATTTTCTGCTTTAAAGGAAGAAATAAAAAATTACTCTGAGGTTATCTTTCACCTCTCATAAGTCTTCTGATGGGTCAAATGGTTTCTTCTTTCACACTATGCACAAGAGTCTGTGTAGTGTAAGAAAAAAGACTTCAAGACAGGACAAAAAGAGAAATCTTTCAATTTTACTGTGGTAGCAGCAGTAGCAATTCCAGCATGTGGTTCTGGTAACAATACCAGACGGACCATTTTGTGAGATGATTGGGGTACATGATCAACATTTCCTACAGGCTGTTTTAAAAAAGGTCTGTTGTATTGGTAGTAGCAGTTATGGTTGTACTTGTCCATTGGGAATGGGCTTGTATCCACTGGTTCACGTCACCATTCCAATCCATGCAGCTGCTAGATGGTAACTAATGATGTTAATGAACTGGTCCTTGTACTGACAAATATCTTTTAAATTAATCTCTTCTAGATCCATTTATTCACTAGTGGCTCCCATATGGACCAGATCCTTGGACATTTTTCTGTCACAGAAACAGATCTTGTTAGACAACCGGAGAACTACAAGCAGGTAATGCCTCTGTTGTAATTCTTGGATGCTTTGTATGCTTTTCACAAACATTGTTCAGCAGAAGACTGCACTCTTTGTAACATGTTTTTAATTTGGTTTCCAACAGAAATAAGGGCTTATATATATTGAATTGTCAGTTTCCTCAGTTATAACTTGTATTCACCAAATGGTTTCTTCCAGTTTGATAGAATACAAAGTTATTAAGGAGTTTTGTAAAAACTGGTAGACAGGAAACGGGGAGAGACCTGACTGAAAGTGCCACTTAAGAAAATGCTTGTAGACTAAAACATTTTAGACGAGTTGGCTGACTGCTGTTGTATACTACCAGTGACTACACCTGGGCTTGCTAGCCAGAGTGTCTGCCTGTGACCTTGCTTGAGTGGCTTGTCAGTGAGGACATGGAGAGATCTGATTTATTTCCCCAGGGAGAGCCAAAGCACATCTGTGCTAGCCTTCATTAGTTCTCAAAATTATACAAGTTGACTACCTTTTTGGTAGTAAGAAGCTTTATTTTGAAAAATACTTTAGAAGAACAGAATGGTTGAGATTGGAAGGGACCTCTGGAGTTTACTTGCTCCAACCCCTCTGTTCCAGCAGTGACCTAGAGCAGGCCGCCCATGACCATGTCCAGATGGCTTTTGAATATCTCCAAGGATGGAGACTTCACAGCTGCTCTGGGTGACCTGCGCTATGCTCAGTCATTCTCACAGTAAAAAAGTGTTTCCTTACCTGTTCAAACAGAACCTTCTAGGATAACATAATTTTTCCTAATATACTTTTTTACCTTCCATATGTATATTTCTGCTACTTTTTTATACTCGTTATAGATATTTCATTTATAATTTGAAGTAGTACAATTCACTTGTTTTGATACAGCATAATACATTTGTTTTACAAATGAGTTTGTAAAAGTTTTAGCCTGTGTGAAACTGAAACAAGATTGAAATTTTAAGCTCAGCCCTTACAAAACCAATAGCTGGCAAATTTCTGCAGCCTGTCCAAATCTGTTTACTCAAAGAAGATATTCTTTCTGCTGCTACCTTAAGAACAGAAGTGGAGATGGTAAATACCACACACAAAGAGATTCAGAAAAGTAGATTTGAAGATGGGAGATAGTCTTCTGTTCAAACCCCTAAAGTGCATGTTAATCTTTCATTACTGAGCATTCCTTGGATGAACAGTTCACATCCAGCCTCTTGATAAGGTTCAACTCTTTAGAAGATTTTCCTGGAAAATTACTGTTTTTCTAGAGCAAATGGCTAAGTCAGCTTGAAATTTCTTTCTCATTTGCGCTTCAGAGTCTCTCTTCTACGGTTTGCTCAGCAGCTCAGAACACATAGCAGCACAGTCCTTTGAAGCTTATACATTATAGTCTTCCAGAGCTTAGCATATGTCCAGAAAGGTCTGGTGTGCTGGTACTAGAAACTTCCAGGCTGTGTAGAAGGATTTTACAGCTACCTTCTTCCAAAGCCTTACCCTGAACATACCACTGATCTGTTCCAGTAAAGCATAATGATAGTCTAATAAAGTCTATTTGATTTTGACTGTGCTGTTAATGAATCATTCCAGGACTTTTCTTTCTTGCATGCTGCTCCCTTTCTGGGTGTCTGCTTCAGGTGTGCTGTTCAGTGGAGGCCCAGAATAAAATGGAAAGAATTTTTTTGTGTTTTAAACATTGTGGTTAGGTAAAGTGCTATAGTCAAGAAGGTTTAGTGGGCAGCTATGTTGCTTAGTTAAAATCTGTAGAGTATTCATTCTACATTTCTCAGGCTTAAACAGCAAATATGTGATGCAAGGGATACCCCTTCAACCAAGGGTGATCAATGAGAGAGACAGAGGCAGGGTTGCAAATGTTTTCTTTAAAGTGTGAGCGGCTGCAGTCTCCATCGCCAGTTCTGGGCTCTGACAGGTGCAATCCCAAATGGGCTTCTCTAGCTCCAGCGCATGTGTGTTAGAAACTCTTTTCTTATTTCACTTCTGACTGGACTGGTCCAAAATTGGAACTGTTTGTCAGCATAATCAGCTGTGAAATTCTTAACTACTTGAAGCTCTTGAACCTATTAAAGAAAAGGGGTTCCTGTAAGCTGCTCTCTTGTGCCTGTTTCTAAAATAAGCAGGAAAAAATGCAGGAAATCATCACAACACTTCTGTATGCATATTTTTGAGAGGCTTAAAATTCTTACTGTCATCATTTGAGCAATCTTTATAGTTTTTGTTTCCCCTTATTTCCCAAAAGTAGCCTCCAGAAGTCATATGCTTAGTATATATGAAGAGCCTGATACAACAAGGTAGTATGGACTTGAAAAGGCAAGGCTGTTTCAAGTGTCAGTTTTCCAGATGGATATAATACTCAATATGCAAAGTGATATTTCTTTGGAAAAATGTAATAAAAAGCCTCTAATTTTGAAATATCTTGATAAGATAAAGTAAATTATACGTATTTGAATAGATTGGTTTTCAAATATTGGTGCAGATGGCAGCACTCTGCCAAATGTTTTTTCCAAAAACTGTGAAATAATTTTTTTTTTCTCTTAAGTAATGTGACATTTCTGTTAATGTTACCTCAAATAACAGCCTGCTGCATGGATCAATAAAAAGAGCAAGCACGTCAATATGTCTTACTGTAATGCATCCCTGTTGTTGGATGGTGTTATGAATTCCTTCTCATGTTAGGTATCCTTCAAAGGCTAGAAATGCAAAGTGGATTGAAGTGTCAAAAATTAGCTATCACAGAAAGGACATTTGACTGTTTCTGTTGAAGCCTTGAGTTCATTGGCATCAAGACTATCCTGTGAGATAAGTTGTTCTGACCTGTAATAAACCAAGAGATGTTTAGTCTGACAGGGAAAGTGTGATAGGATACAGATAGCTGTGAAGTTAAACTTCAGTTTATGAAATGGAAAAAGTCTAGCTACTCATTCTCTATAAAAGTTGCACATTAACTTGTTTAAAACATTCTTCCCTTGGATTTTTAACTTAAGACTCTTTTAGTGCTTTTATATACAGGGATTTTCCTGGACATTATTATTTTTATCATCATAAATGTCTTTGTCAGATTTATACAGTGGGAAGCTTTCCAAGTACGATAGTTTTAATTGTATTTTTCTCTAGTGAGGCATGATAAAAATTCCAACTTTTCTTGCAGTTTGGCTTGGCTGTGGTTATCTATATGTGTTTGGCTGTGTATTGCAGGTCACTTCTGAGTTTAGTTCCTGTGCTGCCCAGGGGTGTCAGTGAATATGATGTGACATTATTCCAGCTGGTTTCAATTTCCAGTTGAAGTACACGTACATGTTTGTGCTAGCTCTTGACATCTATATTTATGTCCTTTCTTTCCCAAAATGCTGTTGTGGCTTTCTGAGCAGCCCCTAGCTTGCAGAGTGTTGCAGGAGAAGATATGCTGGTGGCCATTTTCTCAGCAGAAGTGCCTCAATGAGTGGTGATAGTTATGGAGCCGTTTGCCTGTGAGGCCACACCAGAGCGTGTAGATCAGGGACAATTACAGCATGGCAGCGTGCAACAGCCTATGCATTGCTAGGGAGCGTGGCCTGGATGTTCGTTGTGTCTTTTTCTTGAAAACCTCTTGCATGTATCACTTAAGAGTGCTACAGCAGAGTCTAGAGCATCTTGTACATCGTGTGTTTTGGTATGTTTTCCAAGCTGTAGTGGTACTGCTCGTTTCTAAATAGTTCCCCATGTCAATACTTGCCAGCCTGAAATAGGGCAGAAATGGAGTTCAGATCTCTAGCACTGCTGCTAAAATAGTTTGGAAGTGTACTGGGGAGACCATGCAGAAGATGTGGCTGAGGGCAAGTGACATCTGCCTCAAATTTTCCAGGGCACTCTCTCACATTCCTCATGTGACTGTAGGACAGTGGTTGTGACGTGCAACCAATTCGGTAGTTTTTTATCATTGTGAGCATAATACAATCCCATTCTTGTCTATGAAGTCCATAGCAGTGTCACCAGTTCTGGTGTTTTATCTTAAGCTTGAGAAACTGCATGTTGCAGTTAAGAGTCATTAGATTAACTTTCTCATCAAATTGTTACCATATAGAGATTAATGAACTTTGAAGCAAAACAGCCTACTCCTTTGTTTTCTTCTGTCACGTCATATGCTGCTTTATATGTGGAACTCAATCTCACATGTTCTGTGATTAGCAGAGATTAAAAGTTGTAGTCAGAACTCAGGTCATTGGTATAGTGCTGGCAGTGCAGGAGTAATCATTGAAATTGTAATGAGTAAAGATGACACCTTTAAATGCCAGTAGATCAGTTTACTGAGTGTGACAGAAAATAAGCAATGCAGCTGTCTGTCTGCCAGATGGACGTGCAAAGAAATTTATAGAACTCGGATGTCAATATCTAATAATTTTGTGTTGGAATTTTATGGGAAAAAAACCCCAAACCTGATCATTAACACATTTTAAAGGAAATATATTTGGTTTAAGGAACTAAGGTCCTTGAAAATAATTAAATAGGAGCAAACAGATTGTCTGACTTTGCATACATAATGCATGGTCAATTCCATGCCCATAAAAAATTCATGTAAGCTTCAGCTCTCCAAGTAGCAGGGATTGGGTAGGATGGAATAGGATGGTACAGGCGTAGCACTTCGATTTCTGGGCTGTTCATCTATCATGGAAGGAAGCCAGTGTATGCATATTGCTTCCTTCGGTCAGCTGGAACTCTGTATTTTCTTACTGTGACATTCAAGGGGTAGATGACCAAGTTGTAAGGTAAGTTGATTCTGGACCCTAAATCTTGTGCCAGTTTCCATTTAAAACATCTGTCCAGATGGCTGTTAGAGATGGATGACCCAACAGGTTTGTTCCCTGTGAGTAATAGCCTATGGTTTGAATTCATGCAAAGCACTAAAGAGCTTTGTTCTTTTCAGAAGAAGTTCATTCAGATTGGGAGCTGATAGACTTTGAATTTTCAGGAATGTTGAACATGCATTTTCTAGTTACTCTGCATGAAATCTGAGTCTTTAATTTGCA